GTGTTGATCAGCATGGGGATGAGTAGAAAATGAAGGCTAATCATGTTTTGGGTGTACTATTCCTTTAAGGAGGTCTTCAAAGTACTCCGCCCACCGACATACGACGAGTCAGCAGCACACCACCCCCACAATAGATAGTGTTGGTACTGCACCGCTTCCCCCTCCTGAGATGCCGGATTGTGGACCAGAATCGCTTGAAAGCCGTACAGAAGTCTTTCTCCATGGCCTCTCCAAACTCTTTCCATGCCCGAGTTTTTGCCTCAGCGACAAGCTCAGCCACCTACCACTTTGACTGACGGTACATGTCAGCTGCTTCTGGAGTCCCACAGGTCAATAAAGCCCGATAGGACCCCTTCTTCAGCTTGACAGCTTCCCTCACTGCTGGTGCCCACCAGCGTGTTTGAGGGTTGCCACTGGGACATGCACCTTGCAGCCACAGCTTTGACTAGCCGCCTCAACAATAGAGGCACGGAATATGGTCCACTCAGACTCAATGTCCACCACCTCCCTCTGAACGTGTTCAAAACTCTGCCGGAGATGGGAGTTAAAGCTCCTTCTCACGGGGGACTGCCAGACGTTTCCAGCAAACCCTCACAATATGTTTGGGCCTACCAGGTCTGACCAGCGTCCTCCCCCACCATCGGAGCCAACGCACCACCAGGTAGGTGGAGAGCTCCGCCCCTCTCTTCACCCGAGTGTTCAAGACATGCGGCCGCAGGTCCGATGAAACAACAGCAAAGTCGATCATTGAACTACGGCCTAGGGTGTCCTGGTGCCAAGACCGCATATATACACCCTTATGCCTGAACATGGTGTTCGTTATGGACAATCCATGACGAGCACAGAAGTGCAAAAACAGAACACCACTCGAGTTCAGGTCAGGTGGGCCATCCCTTCCAACCACGCCTCGCCAGGTCTCACTGTCATTGCCCACATGATCATTGAAGTCCCCCAGAAGAACCAGGGAGACCCCAGGAGGGGCACTCACCAGTACCCCCTCTAAAGACTCCAAAAAGGGTGGGTAATCTGAACCGCTGTTTGCCGCATAAGCACAAACAACAGTCAGAACCTCTCCCCCACACGTATGCAGAGGGAGGCAACCCTCTCGTTCACTGGGGTGAACCCCAACGTACAGGCACCAAGATGAGGGGCAACAAGAATGCCCACTCCTGCTAGGCGCCTCTCACCAGGGGCAATTCCAGAGTGGAAGAATGTCCAGCCCCTTTCAAGGAGACTGGTTCCAGAGCCAGAGCCATCGAGGTAAGTCTATTTCTAGTTGAAACTTTTCCACCTCAAGCACTAACTTAGGCTCCTCCCCCACCAGCGAGGTGACATACCATGTCCCAAGAGCCAGCTTCTTCAGCCGAGGGTCAGAACGCCAGGGTTCCCGCCCTTGAGCGCTAACATCACACAAAGCAACCAACCCCTTTGGCCCATCCTATAGGTGTCGAGCCCATTGGAAGGGGGATCCATGTTTCGTCTTTGGGCTGTTCCTGGCCGGGCTCCATGGGTAAAAACCCGGCCACCAAGCACTCGCCAGCGTGCCCCACCTCCAGGCATTGCTCCAAAGTGGGGCCCCGGTGACTCGCGTCCGAGTGAGGGAACACTAGATCCATTTATTGTTTTCATCAAAGGGGTCTTTTGGGCTGCAGTTTGTCTGGCCCCTCACCTAGGACCTGTCTGCCTTGGGTGACCCTACCAGGGGGCATAAAACCCCCAGACAGCATAGCTCCTAAGGTCATTGGGATACTCAAACCCCTCCACCACTATAAGGTGGCAGCCCAGGGAGGGGTAAAAATGAAACAATAATATTTCATTTACAAGAGTAGTTTCCTGATTTGGTACAAACAAGTTATTTTGTTTAGTTGCTTTTTAAATATATAGTGAATATTTTGTTACTGAATAACTTTATTGAATTAATGAACAACATTTCCTGATGCACATTAATTCTTCATTAATTCTGTAAATTTAAGTTATCAAAAACAAATCACAAATTTATATCATAGTGTTTGTTAACCCTATTGAGTTATATGTATGTATTTTAACAGATAAAGTAAAATTTCATTGATTTTAATGTTGTTGTCTTTAAA